ATCAAACTTCAATTTTTTTGCCAGTCTAAAGAATTATGTTTTAATTTGCATTTCCTTGACTATAATAATAGATACATTCGGCAACACCATCTGGACTGGTGATTAAACAAGAAAATGAGTGCAGGCAGGACAGCATAAAAACGCATATATACATTAAGCATATTATTTTATTTTAAAAACATAGATGTGTATTTCCTCTCCCATCTTTTGATTTAGGAACAAGGTTTATCTCTCAAGCGAGGAACCACTGGCTGGAGCTCCACATATACCCTTCTAGTGCACATCTAAGATGCCCTGGTTCTGTATGTGATGTGAGAACGTAAAGATCTTGTGAAATCATCTGAGTGCAGACGTTAATTTAACAGCGAACTTTTAGTTCTGTGATTTCATCAAGACTTTCGAAAGCACTGAATTTAATTTTCACTGAAATTACTCTCTTTTCACACTGTGTTTCATTGGTTTACATATTACTTAATTAAATTGCATAATTACAATGACAGGTTTGGGACCCATCACATCAGCTCCTGAAAAACATACAATGAACTGAGAAGCAAAGCACAGAGGTGTCCCAGAGGGCAGCCCACAAGCCGTCCAGGTGAGCACACCCTGGCTGCAGTTGGCACCTTTCAGAGAGAGATTTGTGAGAGTCTCCAATGCAGTGAGTGGGTAAGAGAGCGTCTGTCCACGTGGAGCATCTTTTCATATGCCTATTGCCCAATATCCTCTACTGTGAACCATCTGTTCATTTCATTTACCTATTTTTCTAACAAATTATCTTTTTAAAATCATTTACAAGTGTTCTTCATAAATCCCAGATAGTAATCCTTTGCCATTTAGATGTCATAAATATTTTCTCCCAGGCTTTTGCCTATTAGCTACATTTTTTGTATTTATTCTGTTTCATAGAAGTACGTAATTTTGAACTAATGAAATAAACTTCTTTTCTTTCTCCGTAGCTTTGCTTTCCATGTCTTGTTTAAGAAAGCCTCCCTTCCCTAAGATTCTAAACATATTATTTTCTTCTAATACTTCAACAATTTTGTTATTTCCAGGTTCCAGATGAGGAACTTGAAGTTTCGAAGCTTTAGATATTTGACAAAAATTATAAAGCTATAAACAATGAAGCCAGGACCCATATTGCTTCATATCTGTATATAATCTCTGACTTACACCACCTTCCTTAAGAAGGAATTAAGGTCTGAGCAAAGCAAAGTGGAATATATAATGTCTAGCAATGATGAAAGTTGAGATAAATGCACATCTCTGTATTGGGATTATATAAGTGATTAACATATAAATGATTCATCATCAGCCTCAGATGATGGGCCCAAGCGACTAGAAGATGTGCACACTACTGGGTAGCAACTGCTCTTATTCATTCATCCATCCATCCATTCAAGCGAACAAAAATATACTGATCACCTAACATAGCTCAGGCAATGCTCCTGAGCTTCGTGTTCTTTGCTACACTTCGCATAGATGTTCTGCAAGTTCCTAAAGCACAGAGTCTTCCAAAGCACAGAGACTAAGACCTTGGTAGAACAGGTGTTCAGTTACTGCACCTATTATATTGTCATGTGACCTGTGGCTTAACTTCTTCCACTCTTGTGGACGACACTGTGATCTTTTTAAGGGTGGGCAAGAATAAATAATGAATAATGAAGGAAAGAAGGAAGAAAGGATGAGGGAAGGGAAGAAGGAAGGAAAGAACACCTTGTATTTTCATCAAACACAATCTTCCTAGTGATTTTACCATTTCATTAAGGTTATTATTTATTCTCACCACCACCAGTCACCTTTCCAGGAGGTCACAATCTTACCATTATCTCCTGATTCTTCTGTCTCCTGCTAATGTCTATAATGAGCTGTCAAATCTTGTTGCTTCTATTGCAACCCAACCCAAATCTTTTCTATTCTCCCTACCACCTTGCTTCAGGCTTACTGTCTCTTGCAAAAACTATTATGAATGATCCCCTCGCCAATCCACATTACACCTGAAACTCCCAAATCATCATCTTATCCTGCTAAGCTCTCACTGAACACTTTCAAAGACTGTCTTTAATCTACTTAATCATTCCGGACCTCACGGGTGGACACCGAGGCTCTCTATATTACCCCATCTACGTTTCGAGCCTGATTTCTCTTTGCTTATCCTCCTCTTCCTTCTTATTTCCCGGACAGGACTATGTGCTTTTTATTAAATCTGTCTTGTATTTTCCATCTCTGTTACTTCTGCTTGAGGCGCTCTTCTTCCTTCTGCCCATTGTAAATACCAGCTCTTTCATAAAGTGGGTCCTACACCCCAACAGACAAGATCTCTCACTCCTCTGATATCAGCAGTACTTTCTATTATTGCTTTCTATGTTGCCTTCTTACCCTGTTTTATTTAAAGTGCTTACCTTATTTACACAATGCAAGTACCTGGAGGTTAAGGCTTCCTTATTTTTGTTTTCTTCTTCAGACTCTAGTACAGAGCCTTCTACACAGAGGAATCAATAAAATATTTGTCAAGCTGAACTGTTCTCAACTTTACCGTAAGCTCCTTGAGGACAGTGACTTCAGGTGCCATGGGTCTCCCAATATAAGTAAAGGACTTGTACATAACGGGTGCTCAAAACGTACTTGTTTAAATAATTTCATAGTTCCAGAGCCAGATCTTTCAAGATGCACTGAACACTGCATTAACCTAAAGTTTTCATTTAGAAATCTCTCACTGATTCACATCAAGGAAAAAGGAAAGAAATGCCGACTCTAACATCTTTTATTCTTTCCTTTTCAGGTGCTTATCACGGACCAGGCACTGCACTCAAAGTTTTACAACCATCATCTCATGTAATCCTCACAATAGCACTAGCGTGAGGCACTGTCATTTCCCCCAGGTGATTGGTGGGAGGTTTAGAGAAGTAATTTGATCCTGCAAGTGGCAGAGCAGTTTCTGCCTTTGGAGCCCACTGTCATCACCATCATGTCATTTGGCCTTGGTTACATTTGAGGAAAAAAAAACCCAAATGCAATAGTTTGAGGGAAAAAAAAACAAAATTAAACAAACAACAACAACAAAAAATTTAAAAAAACACTGTGGCCTACCTCTTAAGTAAAATCATTCTTTGAAACATAAAAACTTCTTGACTCTTAGATTATTTTAATGGACGTAAAAATCAAGAATTGTTAAATTGATTTCATCCACCTTCCAATGTAAGCTTCAAACTTAGGAGGCTATTTTCTCAAGCAACATACACGGCCAATATCTGATTATGCATCTCAAAGAATGGAGCAGGTGTCAAAGATGACATACTCATAGATAACTGAACATCATTTAATTTTGGAAAGCTGTCTAAAAATCTCAAAATCAAGTAAAACTGCTTACTCTCCATTCTCCATGCAAGTCTTTATCTACTTGAAAACTCTTGCCAGAGGTCTGGACTCTGATTGGCTGGCACAGTAAAGGGGTGTGCAGGTGTCACAGATGATCCACAAATAAATAAGACTGCAAATTTCTCTTTTTGAATCTCCAGATTCAGCCTGCAGAAAAAAGCACTCGCACCGATTCTGGCCACTATGCTGAAAAAGTATACATCATCACCAAGGAGGTGCAGAGTACGTAACTAAGAGAGGAAGAAAAATGTTGAATCGGACCTAAATATGATGAGAACGCACTGAGGAAAATCTCACAAGCTGTAAAATTCATAATTCAAGCTGAAATTATATCAAGCGAGGACAAACTCTGATTTTCGGTAAAATAGAGAAATGACTACCGAAGCTTTAACTACCGAGAACTTCTATTTATCTATAAGTATAAAAAAATTCATGCAAAAAGTCTGATATTAACTTCCACCATTTTCTGGATTTAAGTGTTAGTGTTAAAATATACCATAGCTATGATGACTCTCTGTGATTTAAGTGATACGTTAAAATCCAAATCCCACTTTTGAAGCAAAATTTTATTATAAAGTAATTTCACTCCTTTAAAATGGTCTAAAACATTCAGTTGTTGGTACTTCATTATTTTGAGCTGCAGGTCATATGTTCAGAAAAGAATAGAGGAAAAAGAATTAGCCAATTACTTATTATGGAAAATAGCCTTAAATACTCATGAGCATTGGTTAATACTCTGCCAACTCCCTCTGCTGAAGCAGAAATTAAACAAAACAAAACAAAAGAAAAAAAACAAAACAGAAAAAGAAGTTCAAGTCAAGTGAAAATATTTTATGACATTGCAAGTGTCTTAAAAATGCATTCGCTCAAACATGAAAAAATGGCAAATAATTAATCCCAAAATAAAATATAAAAACAACTCTGCTCCAGTACGACTGAAGAAATGCATATTCTTAACAATGTGTAACCTCTTTTAAGAAACATCTAAAATGACGATTAGCTAAATGTTTTTATAGAGATGGAATATTAAAGTGAAATATGTACATTGATTCATATTAAAGAAAGAGGTTCCTAACTTTCTGCGTCAGATCATTACAACACTCACATTAACTCGAAACCTTTAACATCGCGAATGTAGAATACTATTTTGATGAAGACCTATCTTATAAGTACATTATTTTTCTTTGAAAGGCAGCTTCCCAAGCACACTGTATGTCTAGAATAATGAAACTTAGCCATTTACTCTGACCTGGATAATACTTAAAGGAGGCGGAGAAAAAGAAGAGAAAATAATGGTCTTCTCCCCATAAATCTCAATCTTACCTCATGCTTTCTCTTTTAAATGTAACCATTCTAAAACACTAATGATTTTGCTATTGTTTCCCCTGGAGCATTCTCTATCAAGATTAAAGAAGGGCTTATTCAGAAACAAACAGGATACAGGAGTAACGCCGCAGCTTCCAGGCAAGCTATAAATAGCGACAGGGTTTTCAAGAAATCTTGTGCCAATGTGTAAGCCGCAGTTTTAACGTGCAGAGCAAGATTTTATTACAACGGTGTCACCAAAATACATTGTTTTAGGAGACCATTCAATTCTTTTCTTACCAAGGAAATTCAATTCTTACCAAGTTTTCTTGGTTCCTGGCTGCTATTTTCTGCTCCTCTTCTGCCCCATTTTTCATGTATTTGACCTCTTCCACCGGTTTGATCCTATATTCATCTATGTACCAAAAACAACAACAAAAAAGACACGTTATAACGTTTTCATAACGGTCGGAAAGTGTCAGTGAGGAAAGCCCAATAGCGTAATTCGTTAGATCCTTCTCCCCGTGTCCTTGTGGTTTATTTGAAACCATCTAGAAGAAGCTTAATCAGACTCTTTTTATGAGGCCCTCTCCCCTGTCTGCTGGGAAAAGTTCACCACCACAAAGACAGCTAATGACAGCAGCCCTGCCTGGTCCTTTCATAGAGAGGAAACAGAGGTTATTCCATCTCTAAAGATGATCTGGAACTGATACACATCAGGACACATCGATCACATTGTGGTCGAAGGAAGATTTTTCACTTTATAAACGAATATTTTCCTTATGAGAATATTAGCTCATGATACCTGTGGCAGCAATTTTCAGCAGTACATTCTCTCTTTTGAAATTTCTCTCTTTTGAAAAAAAAAAGTACCATTGAAGACCAGAGCTTAATTGGTCAACAAATAGATATGAACGACTGGGAAATAATTTTTTCCTATTTGTGATCCCCATATTAAATGAGGAGTAGTCTGCAATTATTTCGCATCTCTCTCTCTCTTTCTCTCTCTCTCTCTTTAATCTCTCCGTAGAGTCCCATGCATGAAGAGCCATAATAGCCAATGGCTCTAATAGGTAGGTAGGTAGGTATATCACTCAAGGCTGCAGAGCATAGTGGGCCATGGATGGGACTTAGACTTCACAACAGCCAGAGAGAGACTACGATAAATCCCAACATTGATAGACGTCATGGGACAAACTCAGGACAAATTTGTAACTTAAGCTCTTCTCCAAGATAGAGGTCTGGTGATGACGATAATGACATTTTCATCAGATTCCTGTCAACAGGATATGACTTGGGCACTCTAATGTCAAAAATAGGTGCAATTCTGAGTCATCTTTAGTTTAATTTATTGGGAAAAATCACAGGAAAATGAAATTAGAAAATTTCATTAACCAAGAAACTGACAATTGCCTAGCATACAGCATGGAATAACTTCTATGATGGGTTACCTGAAAGATGTCTGCCACTAAGAGACTTTGTACTTCAGATTAGGCAGTTACAATGTTTTTTCTTATTACCTGTGATTAATTTGATACGATGACTATATTCTTATATAATTTTTGCCTTATTATTAATAATACCCTTTTCTATGTAGGTTTAGGCTTCCTCATACGATCCCTTAACACACTATCTCCCAAAGACATTTGTGATAGTAACATTTCTTCCATTAATTATGCTGCTCAAACATTTCTCAAAATTATCATCCTTATGAAAGTAATGCGTTTGCATGTATTTAGATAAAGACTCGATGTTCATGGCTAAGCCAATTGTTTTTTTCCACCTGACAATTCAAGGTAGTTTATTGTTTCTGCTTCTTTCTAAAGAAATTAGAAAGACTGGTATGAGGTTACAGGGATGAGCCCTGTAGGAAAACAAGTCCTAAATGTACTAACAAGTTAGTCAATGGATTCTGATCCACAATTACAATGCACAAGAACTTCATATTCCTGGTACTCAGAAGAGAAAAAAATGAAAGTGAATCAATAAAATTGGCACGTTTAATTAAAGATTATTTACTCAGGAGTTGGAAAAGCACTTGTTAATAAATTAAAAATAAAAAGACACTGACAGATTATGTTTCCAATACAATTACATAGAGATAAAAATAAAGGCAAAAATAATAGTTCAAGATGGGCTTCCTTAACTTCAGTTTGGGACATTAATATTGATAAACCATGGTTCGCTGGGATCATTACTAACATTTAACTCATCTAAATTGTAATCTTAATTACTTACGGCGAGTCTCTAATTATTTAAGTATGAATTATACACACGCGCACATACGTTTTAATGCAATTCCAGTGAATCCTATGATTTTGGCTATGGAACCCAAACACTCACATGAAAGAATGGGTGAGGCACATTTTAGGACCTAAGCAGAAGCTTCTGAAAGATGGCCTAGCAAAAAGGCCTCTTCTAGAGAGGGACTCCCTTGCCTCGTCCCCTGATCTCTCCCATCCGCTGGGCCACAGCCCACGAGAGCTGCTGCCTAAGCAGCCGAGCAATACTCAGTCTTGTCTCTTTTTATCCCTGCAGGGAAAACAACTGAATTGAAAGAAGTAGACAAACTATTAATATTTTTCTAATATTTTTCTTCAATGAAATGGAAAAGCTGCTAGCTACATGGCTTTCAAAGCAGCATTATCCCAAATACAGGCTTTTTAAAAAAAAACATCAAGACAGAGTCATCGCCAGTTTAAAAAAAGGATAGGTTTCAGTGTGTCACTCACGACGACGGCTGGCTAGCCAGCGCTGTGTTAGAGGAACACACTATAATTGGAAACAAAGAAAGAAAGAAAGAAAAAAAAGCAAACAGCCACGACTACAAAGCCAGACCTATCATTATTACTTACACAACACACTGCACAAAAATCCATCTTGACATAAAACAAAAAAGCCAGCAAGACCCTCAGATAAGCCACAATTTGTACAAAGCAAATACTTAAAAATGGCTTGTCAAATTTCTCAAAGGAATGAAGATGTCCATCTGGAAACAGACAACTTATCACAAATGTGTCACGCATTTCCATGGCAACGCAGCCGTCAGGAACGGCACTTGCCAACGGGCCTCTGTGTGGACCAATGGAGCATTTCGGGTTATGACGGGGAATCCAGCACTATAGAAATCTAGTTTTCCTTTTGTTTAAGGCACAGGGGGATCGACGTGGGACTTCGGGCCCCCTTAATCAGATCCCACAGTGGAGGCTATTAGCAAGGCCACTGTCACCAGCCTGGAGGACCCTGTTCCAGAACAATGCACCAACTTGATTAAGAGGAGGGAGGGAAGCAAGACCATCTTCCTCTGGTTCCCTCACACCTGTTCACAATTTTTCTTTTCCTCCTGTTGATCTCGTCAGGTGGCTTATTAAAATGCATGTCAGAAAACGGCAGACTGATGCCCTCCCTGTTCAGAACCTCCCCGTCTTCTCTATGTAAACAGTTGCAAGCTGTGCAGGTCATGACAGATCTGGGGTAAAAGCAGAGCCTTGTTGATATTTTTAGCATTTTATTCCTCAGATTGCATCAGAGAGGGGTCGGATTGTTTTTGTGGCGTCACATCGAAGACACAATGTTTCCCACCAAATCTCTGTACCTCACTTTCAATGTGAACTATATAATATATATGTACACATGTTAACATTTTTAGAGCTGTAGCGGGATCAGTGGGCTGGACTTGCTTTAGGTGAGTATGGAATCGATCCCATTTTCTGGATCCTGTCGATTCTTCCATTCTGGACAACTTACTGGCCCTATCATAGTTCCCCCAAGCTTCGCAGATAGAAGATTATCTTTATAATTAACAAAACGAACATTAAAAGGGGTCAAATAGATGGAAATGATTGCTGGGGTGAGTTTATAATGCCAGAATCATGAAAAAGTTAGTAATTTTCGTAAGTGTACATATTAGGTGGGGGAGGGGGAAGAAGAGAAAAGAACCTTATATATGTTACCCTCTGAGGTAAGAAGAGATCTTACAGTTGTTTCCTAAAATGGTGAAATTTGTACCTACTTTCCTACCTTCTCACCTAGGCTTCTTTTGATCCATGACACACATGACAAGAAATTTCGTCTTTTCCAGGACTATCCCAATTTCAAAAATTCAGTGCTAATGTCCTCACAGCATAATTGTTCCAACATCTTGGGCATCTTAACGAATGCTCTGGAATGCCTGCCTCTTCATTTAGAATTTGCATGAAGATTTTCTGGTAGACTAATTATTATTACATGCTCAGGAAATGGAGGTACAAGAAATATTTATGAAAATCAATTATTCTGCTTTCTTTCATAAACTTATTCCCCTTGGACTTCTCCCATTGAACATTCTGTCTCTCAAGCTAACTCAAATTCGAGTCCCAAAATCCTGACACAACTTTAAATTCCAGTACTTCCTTCCTTGGTAGGATTTTTCAACAGACGAACATTCACAGTGGCTCAGAGCTTAGCTCTAGAGTTAGAACACCTGGCCATGTGACCTTGGGCATATTACTTACCCTACCTGTGCCTGAGTTTCTTCCTCTGTAAAATGGGAATATTTACAGTACCTAGTCTCACACACAGAATCACATGAATTATAATATGAAATCGGTGCCTAGTCCGCAGTAATGTTCAATAAATGTCAGCTGATGCTTTAGAAAACTGTGCTGGTTCTGCAAGAAACACTATTCATAATGCACAAAATCCATTAAGGTATAATAACAAAAAGCATAACGTAAACATCAATAATTACTTTAACCAAAAACTGTGACTTAACTGTGTTAACAAATGAGGAGAGAAGGGGATTTATCATCCATAAAATGCCTTTAGTATTCTTTTTACTATGTGCCTATATTACTTCAGTTAAAATAAAAAATAATTTTAGAGATCTTTTAACCATACCCTGGGTCATCATTTAAGGGAAGCCGGGGCTACGACCCAACACTGCTCTTCTATCTCCCTTTGTTTCTCCACTTGAACATGGACATTGGCTCAGCTCCTACTCTCAGCCTACTTCGAGGGCACAGGAATGAACAGGTGAAATTCCAATGCAGAATAGGCAGAATGATTGTTTGAAAGGGTGAAGGCTGTTCCAAAGAAAGTAACTGTGGAAAGAAAACCCTTTACCAGAAGGACAAAGAGGTGGGACTCTCTGGCACTACAAATCAAAGATGGACAGATGAGTAGACTGCATTAGGAGAAGGTGGCCTTTGCTTCGGAGGACTCTGTCCACCCCATCAGCTGTTCAAGCCTCCACTGGTTTATGCATTCAACAAACATACATTCGACATGTGCTGTGTGCTAAGCCCTGGTCTTTTTCAGGGGCTCATCAGATAACAGTTTATCATGCTTGGTTTCTGTATGCCTGTTTTTTTGTTATGTTTTGTTTTGTTTTTACTCAAAGTGGCTGGCACATAGAGGGTGTTGAATAAAGCCTTT